GTGGTTGATTGAGTGGGTGAGTGAGTAGGTGAGTGACTGAGTAGGTGCGTGAGTGGGTGAGCGAGTGGGTGAGTGGGTGGGTGAGTGGGTGAGTGAGTGAGCGAGCGAGTGAGTGGTTGATTGAGTGGGTGAGTGAGTAGGTGAGTGACTGAGTAGGTGAGTGAGTGGGTGAGTGAGTGGGTGAGTGGGTGGGTGAGTGGGTGAGTGGGTGAGTGAGTGGGTGGGTAAGTGGTGGATGAGTCGGTGAGTCAGCAAGTGGGTGGATGAGTGGGTGAGTGAGCGAGTGGGTGAGTGGGTGAGCTAGTAGGTGATTGAGTGGGTGAGTGAGTGAAGAACACGAACAAGAACAATAAAAACAACAAGAACAACAAGACGAACAACAAGACGAACAAGAACAATAAAAACAACAAGAACACAAGACGAACAAGAAGAAGTTGAACAACAACAAGAAGAACAACAATTACAAGACGAACAAGAACAATATAAACAACAAGAACAACAAGATGAACAAGGACAAGTAGAACACGAGCAAGAACTCCACCCCCTCCTCGGTTATAGGGGATGATTGTCGATGTATTTGGGTTAGGCGGGCTTCATCCAGCAGTGGACAGATCAATGCTTCTGATGATGATGATGGGGATAGAGTCAATCACACGAGCGATTTCACATTTTGTTATCGGTTTACAACGGCTGAATGGCTTGCGTGAAATTGATTTATGAACCACATGAAAGATAAAAAAACACCCGCGTCAAATAATAAACTGCGATGCGATACAAAAAAGCTGCTCAATGGGTGTATGGGGACGTGTAAAACCCTATGAAGAAGAATGACGCGCAGAGCACTTTATAAAATTGCTATAAAGTTGAAGTGCACGGGCAGGAAGTAATGAAACTAGACTCTAGTGAGTAACATTTTAACATCTTGCAATAATAATAATATAACACTTGACAAAGTTCAACCTTTGTTTAAGCGTGATGGCCTGATTCAATCTCTTAAGTGTAAGATTGTCGTCGTCGTCATCATCATCATCATCAGGATCATCATCAGCACCATCGTCGTCACCTTCAGTCGTGATCTCTGCACTGCCAGGCGGTCGCCACGATTCGCCTTACCCCAGGGAACGGCCTGTGCAGCATCCTCCACCCTCTCCTATGTGTGTCGTATGTGTGTCGTATGTGTGTCGTGTGTGTGTCGTATGTGTGTCGTATGTGTCGTATGTGTGTCGTGTGTGTGTCGTGTGTGTGTCGTGTTTATGTCGTATGTATGTTGTGTGTATGTTGCGTTTATGTTGTGTGTATCTCGTATGTGTGTCGTATGTGTGTCGTATGTGTGTCGCATGTGTGTCGTGTGTGTGTGTCGTGTGTGTGTCGTATGTGTGTCGTGTTTATGTCGTGTTTATGTCGTATGTGTGTCGTATGTGTGTCGTATGTGTGTCGTGTTTATGTTCTGTTTATGTTGTGTGTATGTCGTATGTGTGTCGTATGTATGTTGTATGTATGTTGCGTTTATGTTGTGTGTATCTCGTATGTTTGTTGTATGTATGTCGTATGTATGTCGTATGTGTGTCGTATGTATGTTGTGTGTATGTAGTGTGTATGTTGTATGTATGTCGTATGTATGTCGTATGCATGTTGTATGTATGTCGTATGTATTTCGTATGTGTGTTGTATGTATGTCGGGCTTCTCGTGATTTTGCGTCGTGGATTTACTCTCCACCGCATCGGTGGGCTGAAGCAGTGTCCAATTGTCGCGTTTTGTTTTACGTGACAAACCTTGCCGGCTGTGTCGGGTGGCGGAGGATTACGACACATGTATACTCCACGCGATCTAACCCAAAAACCTCCATTACGGATAATATTGGTCGCGAAGGCCTACTACACGTGCAACGTATACAATGAATATTCTTTGGGTCTTTCGGTAAAGTCACGTGGGTAGGTTCAAATAAATTAACAAAGCAACGACGACGTTCGGATCGCAGAACAAGCGGTCGTCATCAGGAAACGTGGGGTTAGATAAATATGAATTCCTGCAGTCACGAAAGCTTTAAGTCAAGTTACAAAAAGAAGTTTATTTTTTTTTGTTCATATCTGTTCATCGTTTGACATTTTCTCTGCCGCTTTTGCTGAACTAGCAAGTTATGATTCGAAGCTTCCGTGACTGCAAGGAATTCATACTCTTTGGGTCTTTCGGTAAAGCCGCTTAGGTAGAAAAGTAATACTGTGTAGGAACCTCCTGGTTACTACACCAGCAACCCACAGGGGATTATTGTGTCCGTCCGTCCGTCGTGCATCCAAAAATGGGAGGGGTGGGGCTGGGTGGAGAGGGGAGGGGCTGGGTGGAGAGGGGAGGGTGGGGAGGGGTTGGGTGGGGAGGGGCTGCTCACCCCGTGGTGCCCCCCTTATAAAACTCAACGTTTAACCTACTCACGCCGGCTTGTGCCCGCCCTCACAGTCGGCCATATTGTGCGGAACACACCACGTGGTGGTGCCGCCGTTGACCCTGGCCATTGACCGAGCAACCCAACGTCCCTACCAGCTCCCTCCGCAGGAGAACGTGTCAATATCACGACGTTTCGATCGCAACACAAGCGGTCCTCTTCTGTCCACGTGTCTTTACGGAATAGACCCAAAGAGTAGCGAGTCATGATTAACGACCATTTAAGAATGTCTCTCTCTACAGCAAGTTCACTCGGCTTATGTGGACCGCAGCTCCTTTAATTAATCACTCGTTGTGACCCTGTCACAATCTCTTTGTTAGCGTCGTCGCTTTGCTCAGTTCCTGGAAAAGCCGCCGGTCCGTTGCGGTGAAACGTCGGACATCGGGAGAACAACAACAACAACAATAGCAACAATAAACAAACAGCACCAACAACGGATGGAAAATTATCTCCCCAGGAGTTGTGCCTCCGATCGGCTCATGAATTATTGCGACGTTCTCCGCTCTGCCCCCCCCGACGCCCCCCCTCTCCCTGACCCCCCCCCCCAATTTGAACCTCAACGCAAAGATGTCCCCCTAGAAGGGGTTCCCCGTGACACATCCGAGAGCATCCACCTCGCCCCCTCCTCCACGCCAGAACTGAGCCACAGATTCTCCGGGAATGATCGAATTCCCGCTTGATATCCGTCAGCGTGATTGTCCTCCTAAGTTTAAAACAAACTAACAAAAAAGTTCCGTATTTATATACTCACATATACAAAGGCAAAGATCCCCCGTATAGCCTTAACAGACTGTAGGGGCAAGTGCTGTTAGCGAGCACCTATGAAGGCCGGAACGGTACACGAGGGGGTGGGTGTGGCCAGCACCACGCCCGACCGCCTTTGTCTCCCCAGTGGCGATGTTTAACACACCGCACCAGGTACTCATTTGAGGCTGAGTCGACCTAGGGGAGGCCCGGGACCGGTTCAGATAATCGTCACTGGTGTTGGCCATGAGCGGGAATCGAACCCGGGTCGCCAGGTTCATAGCGCAGCGCGCTAACCGCTACACCACCGCTCCCCACACACACACACGCACACACGGTATGCTTAAAAAAAAATGTGAACACTTCGGAGACTTTACAACAATGACCATGAGAAGTCCACAAGGATGGCGCACAAGTGGGGGATTCTTTGACTTTGTGGAGTTATTAACATTGCATTTGTTATCACGTTACAGTGTGTTATCGTTCTTTTTGCATCAAAAACTGTAGACCCATTTAAGTGTTAACATATTTTTGAAACGCCCAGTATATTGTATGTGTGGGGGGAGCGGTGGTGCAGCGGTTAGCGCGCTGCGCTGGAGCTGCGAACACTCCGCTCCCCGCCCCCGTTGAACCCAAGTCCGATCAGCAAACACCGGTGACGATTATCTTAACCCGTATTCGGACTTCCCCTAGGTCGACTCAGCCTCAAGTGAGCACTTGGTGTGGCGGTGTGTAAACATCGCCACTGGGGGAGACAAAGGCGGCCGGGCGTGGTGCTCATCACCCCCACTGCCTCGTGTGCGGTGCCGGCCTTTATAGGAGATGCTCGCTAACAGCACTTGCCCCAACAGTCTGTTCAGGCTATATGGGGGGGTCTTTGTATTTTGTTATACAGGGTGGGTCAAAAAGTGAGAAAAACACAGGGTTGGCTTCATTTGATTTTCAAAAATCACATCTACACAGAAAGTTAAAACTCGCTATCATTAACTTTAATATACAGGCTGGTCCCAAAAAGTCAGGACACATACGGTGATCACACTTCAATTTCACAAAGCACATATACAGCACAGGGTTATTTCACATTTATTTTAGCGAATGTTGAAACTGACTTTCATTAATATTAATGTACAGAGTGGTCCAGAAGTCAGGACACATAGGGGTTGTTGTTGTTGTACAGGGTGGCCCAGAAGTCAGGACACATAGGGGTTGTTGTTGTTATACAGGGTGGCCCAGAAGTCAGGACACATAGGGTTGTTATTATACAGTGGCCCAAAAGTCAGGACACATAGGGTTGTTGTTGTTGTACAGGGTGGCCCAGAAGTCAGGACACATAGGGGTTGTTGTTAAACAGGGTGGCCCAGAAGTCAGGACACAGGATTATTTCACACATTTGAACAAACCACATGTACAGTGCAGGGTTATTTGACATTTATTGTAACAAATGTTCAAGCCGACTTCGATTCGCATGAATGCACGCTGCATGAATTCTCTTTTGAAATTAATTAAAATTGCCCGATGATGCTGGATGTAATTACCAGCGAAACGTCGTGAGTTGGTAGGTGGGTGGGTGAGTGAGTAGGTGAGTGAGTGGGTGGGTAAGTGGTGGGTGAGTGGGTGAGTCAACAAGTGGGTGGGTGAGTGGGTGAATGAGCGAGTGAGTGGGTGGGTGGGTGGATGGGTGAGTGGGTGAGTGGGTGAGTGGGTGAGCTAGTAGGTGAATGAGTGGGTGAGTGAGTGACTTTACCGTGACTTTACCGAATAAAACCAAATAGTATGAATCCTTGCAGTCACGAAAGCTTCAAATCTTCAATACACGCATCGTCTTTGAAACTGCTTGGCCTACACCAGAGGCAGGTTACTGTGGCCTGGTTAATGCAGACACGACGCCTTGCAAAAAGCCATCGATTTTGGTGTCGGAACATCTCAAGACCTCGGTGTTTTATCGGCAGCAAGGGTCAAATCTACCCTGATCATTCATCGCCCCGGCTACTGACGTCAAGTGAAGACGTCCCGTAGATATTAAAATAACGAGAGCAGATAAACGATTCTCCGGGGGTGTGCGCGACGATGATGAGACGCGAAAGGAATCTGGCCGTGGTTGAGGACTCAATTAAAATGCCTCCAAACAAAACCCCTCTGCGCCACGTCGCAGAGGACGCTCCAATTATAGCGTCTCGACATCCCAACGAGCCTTTGAGCTTGCGTTTAAAATTGACACCAAACACCCACCCCCCCGTTCCCCGTCCCCCCCCAGTGGCTAGGGACGGACAAACGAGCTGAGAGTCACCGTATCCTGAATTTGTTCACGACAAGTCAATTTCAATTGCCACCAATCCACCACCGCTCTGTTGACGCTCCTCCAGGATTTGCCAAAACCCAAGGGGCCGTGCATAAATGACGTCACGCACCTGGGGGGGGAGGGGGGGTGGGGGGTGGCGGTTGAGAAATGTGACGTCACGTCAAAATTGCGCAACTTTATAAATAAATACAGACAACACGTTCTGCTTAATTAAATAGACTTTTTTTTAAAATAAATGTTTTCTCCTACAACGTCAGAGTCGCACGCCACATTAAATACGCAACAACAATGACAACAATCGTTTAAAGCGATTTGAAGCATGTATTATTATAATTATTATTATTTTGGGTGGAGGCGCAGAGCTTTGTGACGTCATATTTCTTCGTCGAAAATCACGTGACGTCATTCATGGACGGGGGCCTCCCCCCTCCCCCCACCAAAACTTTGCTTCCAGTTCAACCCATCCCCCCCCTCCCCCTCCTCCTCCTCCTCCACCCCACCCCCGATGAAGGTTTGGAGAGTCGAGAGGAGACCAAAACGAGGACCCGCGAACAACCACCTCGTCGCATCCTCGTCGCATCCTCGTCGCATCCTCGTCGCATCCTCGTCGCATCCTCGTCGCATCCTCGTCGCATCCTCGTCGCATCCTCGTCGCATCCTCGTCGCATCCTCGTCGCATCCTCGTCGCATCCTCGTCGCATCCTCGTCGCATCCTCGTCGCATCCTCGTCGCATCCTCGTCGCATCCTCGTCGCATCCTCGTCGCATCCTCGTCGCATCCTCGTCGCATCCTCGTCGCATTTTTGTCGCATCCTCGTCGCATCCTCGTCGCATCCTCGTCGCATCCTCGTCGCATCCTCGTCGCATCCTCGTCGCATCCTCGTCGCATCCTCGTCGCATCCTCGTCGCATCCTCGTCGCATCCTCGTCGCATCCTCGTCGCATCCTCGTCGCATCCTCGTCGCATCCTCGTCGCATCCTCGTCGCATCCTCGTCGCATCCTCGTCGCATCCTCGTCGCATCCTCGTCGCATCCTCGTCGCATCCTCGTCGCATCCTCGTCGCATCCTCGTCGCATCCTCGTCGCATCCTCGTCGCATCCTCGTCGCATCCTCGTCGCATCCTCGTCGCATCCTCGTCGCATCCTCGTCGCATCCTCGTCGCATCCTCGTCGCATCCTCGTCGCATCCTCGTCGCATCCTCGTCGCATCCTCGTCGCATCCTCGTCGCATCCTCGTCGCATCCTCGTCGCATCCTCGTCGCATCCTCGTCGCATCCTCGTCGCATCCTCGTCGCATCCTCGTCGCATCCTCGTCAAAGCCCCGACGACGTTGGGGAAGCCTCTCTCGGGGCCGTTCAAATCCGTCGCGAGAGGCCGCGATGGGTGGGGGGCGGGGGGGGGGGGGAGTGAGATGAGCCGTCGGGGGTGAGATGAGGAGGAGGGGGTGGGGGACGAGGAGGTGAGCGGGGGTGAGATGAGGAGGGGGTGGGGGGTGAGGAAGTGAGTGGGGGGTGAGATGAGGAGGGGGGTGAGGAGGTGAGTGGGGGTGAGATGAGGAGGAGGGGGTGGGGGGGGGTGAGGATGTGAGCGGGGGGTGAGATGAGGAGGAGGGGGTGGGGGTGACGAGGTGAGTGGGGGTGAGATGAGAAGGAGGAGGGGGTGGGGGGTGAGGAGGTGAGTGGGGGGTGAGATGATGAGGAGAAGGAGGTGGGGGTAGGGGTCGCCGTTCCCGCTCCAAGACCAATGGGGCCAATTTCGCAAGCGGCATTCGGGCGATTTGTTTACAACCCTGCTAGTGGTGGGGGGGGGGGGTGAGCATCTGCCCCCCACCACCCCCCCACCACCCCCCCACCACCCCGCCCACCACACCCCCCCCCCCCGCCTTAAACGCACGCTGCATCACGACTTAATTGAAGCGCAAAGCTTTTTATTGCTCCCCCACTTAGCGCGTGGCGACCGTCAACAACAACAACAACACAAAGACAAAGATCCCCCGTGTAGCCTTAACAGACTGTAGGGGCAAGTGCTGTTAGCGAGCACCTATGAAGGCCGGCACGGCGCACGAGGCAGTGGGGGTGATGAGCACCACGCCCGACCGCCTTTGTCTGATGATGTTGGTGGCCGTGAGTGGGAATTGAACTCGGGTGGCAAGGTTCATGGCGCAGCGTAGCGCTAACCGCTGCACCACCGCTCCCCACGACAACAAAAAAAACACTACACTACACTCTACACTACAATCTACACTACACTCTACACTACACTCTACACTACACTCGAATCTACACTACACTAAACTACACTCTACACTACACTCTACACTACACTCTACACTAGACTACACTCTACACTACACTCTACACTACACTACACTCTACACTACACTCTACTCTACACTCTACACTACACTACACTCTACACTACAATCTACACTACACTACACACTAAACTACACTACACACTACACTACACTCTACACTACACCATACACTACACTACACACTAAACTACACTCTACACTACACTACACACTACACTACACTACACACTACACTACGCTATATACTATACTACACACTACAATACACACTACACTACACACTACACTACACATTACACTACACACTACACTACACTCTACACTACACTCTACACTACACTACGCTATACACTACACTACACTCTACACTACACTCTACACTACACTACACACTGCACTCTACACTACACTATACACTACACTCTACGCTACACTCTACACTACACGACACTCTACATTACACTCTACACTACACTACACTCTACACTACACTCTACACTACACTCTACACTAAGCAACATTCTACACTACGCTACATTATACACTACACTACACTCTACACTATACTATACACTGCACTCTACACTACACTACACTCTACACTACACTCTACACTACACTACGCTATACACTACACTCTACACTACGCTACACTCTACACTACACTCTACACTACATTACACACTAAACTACACTACACTACACACTACACTACACACTACACTACACTCTACACTACACTCTACACTACACTACGCTATACACTACATTCTACACTACACTCTACACTACACACTAAACTACTCTACACACTACACTACACTCTACACTACACACTCCACTACACACTACACTACACACTACACTACACACTACACTACGCTATATACTACACTACGCACTACACTACACACTACACTACACACTACACTACATTACACACTACACTACACACTACACTACACTCTACACTACACTCTACACTACACTACACTCTACACTACACTACACTCTACACTACACTCTACACTACACTCTACACTACACTACGCTATACACTACATTCTACACTACACTCTACACTACACACTAAACTACTCTACACACTACACTACACTCTACACTACACACTCCACTACACACTACACTACACACTACACTACACACTACACTACGCTATATACTACACTACACACTACACTACACACTACACTACACACTACACTACATTACACACTACACTACACACTACACTACACTCTACACTACACTCTACACTACACTACACTCTACACTACACTACACTCTACACTACACTCTACACTACACTATACACTACACTACACACTACACTACACTCTAGACTACACTACACTCTACACTACACTCTACACTACACTATACACTACATGACACTCTATACTTCACTACACTCTACACTACACTATACGCTACAGTATACACTACACTACCCTCTACACTACACTCTACACTACACTACACACTACGCTACACTATACATTACACTACACTCTACACTACACTCTACACTACACTACACTCTACACTACACTATACACTACACTACACACTACACTACACTCTAGACTACACTACACTTTACACTACACTCTACACTACACTATACACTACACTCTACACTACACTACACTCTACACTACACTACGCTACACTCTACACTATACTACACTCGACACTACACTCTACACTCTACACTACACTACACACTACACTACACACTACACTACAATATACACTACACACTACACTACACTCTACACTACACTACACTCTACACAACACTATACACTACACTCTACACTACACTACACACTACACTGCACTCTACACTACACTCTACACTACACTACACACTACTCTCTACTCTACACTACGCTACACTACACTCTACACTACACTATACACTACACTATACTCTACACTACACTACACTCTACACTACACTCTACACTACACTTTACACTACACTACACACTACACTACACACTACAATACACTCTACACTAGACTCTACACTACACTACACACTACACTACACTCTACACTACACTCTACACTACACACTACACTACACTCTACACTACACACTACACACTACACTACACACTACACTACACTCTACAATACACTCTACACTACACTATACACTACACTATACACTACACACTACACTACACTCTACACTACACTACACACTACACTACACACTACACTACGCTATATACTACACTACACTACACACTACACTACACACTACACTACACTCTACACTACACTACACTCTACACTACACTATACACTACACTCTACACTACACTACACTCTACACTACCCTCTACACTACACTCTACACTACACTCTACACTACACACTACACTACGCTATATACTACACTACACACTACACTACACTACGCTACACTACGCTACACTCTACACTACACACTACACTACACACTACACTACACACTACACTACACACTACACTACGCTATACACTACCGTGGTTGCCCTGGAGGTCAAAAGGCTACGCGGAAGGCGACCTTTGCCTTTCTGTCCGGGGGGGGGGGGGGGGGGGTGGTGTGAGGGAGTGTGGGGGGGTGTGTGGGGGGGGTTGTGGGGGTGTGGGTGGTGGTGGGGGGTGTAGGGGGTGTGGGGGGTGTTGGGGGTGTGGGTGGTGTTGTGGGTGTGTGGGGGGTGTTGTGGGGGGTGTGGGTGGTGTTGCTGATAGTGAGTGGCACCTGTAAAGGCTGGCAAAGGGCACACGAGGGGGTGTGGGAGCGGCCAGCACCACGCCCGGCCGCCTTTGTCTCCCCCCCGCTGCCGATTGTTTCGTAGACACCTGCAGCAGCAGCAGCTACTCATTTGAGGCTGAGTCGACCTAGGGGACAGGAGGCCCAGGACCGGTTCAGATAATCGCCACTGCTGGTCTCAGCTCGTGAGCGAGAATCGAACTCGGGTGGCCGTGATGGTTGTGCAAGGTAGCGCTAACCGCTGCGCCACCGCTCCTCACTCAGAGGTGACAACAAGATGCTCGGTGTAGTCGGCACTTTGCTTCGTTCAACATTTTTATTTTTTTATTTTTTTTCTCAATGCTTTGCTTTATGTAACCTCCCCCCCCCCCCTCAATTGTTTAAATGAAATATTTCAAGCTCTGCTCCTTCTTCTGACCCCTTCCCTCCCTCTCTCTCTCTCTACTCACTCTCTCCCTGCTCTGCATCTGCACGCGGCCCCCCTCGCAGTCCCACGGACCCCCGACGGGCAAGCTCACAATGTGCCCGCAACAGAGCTCTCGTTCCAAGACGGAGGTTCTTTGTGAAGCCATCTGGCTTCCATGAGAGATTCGTTCATGAGGCTATCCACATATACAAGCACAGAGACAATTTCAACCGAGAAGATGGATTCTATCTTAGCAATCATTGGAAAGATTTGATAAACCATTTCAGTTCTTAATTGATTGTTCACGCTTACAGTGGCTTTCAGACAGCATACATTATAAAAAATTTCGTCTCCCCCCTCCTCTTTTCACAATATAGATGGACTAGTCCTGGGCAAACTGCCAAATCGCTGCGCGTGACGCAAACGTTTTTTATAAATAAATAAATGCGCCGTTTAAAAATAAATTTATGCAAACCAACACACCTGATGATGACCGTTTGAGTTATGGTCGAAATGTCGTGATAATTTTTTTTTATTGTTTTATATATATATTTTATTATTTTGTTGTTTATCTTCAACGTGACTTTACCGAAAAAACTAAGAATATAAAGCTCTCTACCGTCATCCCCCACCGAGCACGCGGCCCTCCTCCAGCTCCCGCTGCTCCTTGAAGGCCGGCACAGGGGGCGTGGGTCAGCCGCGCGTGGCGGAACTCCGGGCCCACACCACACCCAAGGCTCCGACCGGATCGCGGAAGATGCCCAGCGCTGCTGGCCGGACGTTTCCGCTCCACGACCACTTTTCCTCGCCCTGCCATTCCCTCTCTATCTACCCCCTTTCTCTACGCCCCCCTCTCTCTCTCTCTCTGTCTCTCTCTACACCCCCCCTTTCTCCCTACTCTATGTCTATGTCGCCCCTGTTTTCCATGTCGCTCTCACGCACACGCACACGGACGCGCGTCCGTGTCACGACGCGGTTGGGCTAGGTGGCGTGGGAAGGAAATTCAACAAACATGCGTTGTTTGCAGACGCGCACGGGAGACGCGCTGCTACTAACACCCTCCCCCCACCCCCCGTGTATCTTCCCTCGCACGTATCGGCGCTAATCCGATATCAATTAGCGGCATCTGTTTCGATAACGTGATGGGAGCGAGCGGCTCCAGCGGAGCGAGAGACGGAAGTCTTCCCGCAATGACGGTAAGAGCTCCTCCATCCCTCCCTCCCTCCCTCCATCCCCCCTTCCTCCCCTTCCTCCCTCCCCTCCCTTCCCTCCCCTCCCCTCCCTCCCTCTGATTTTAAACGATCAGAACAGGAAGATGCTTGGTCTTTCGGCACTTTCGTTCGTCATGTCGTCTTTTTTTACATCTTTTTTGTTTGCTTATGTGCCTCCCTTTTTTTTACAAAATCAAAGATATAACACGGTTTTCCCATGCGACATAAATCCCATTGTGTGCTACTGTGTTCATAAACACCAGCAAACAGAAACATTCAGCCTTTAAAACCCATCACCAGATCCCGTGCTTTCGTCACATTACACAAAGCGCCCTCGGTAGCTCAACACGTCGAGAAAGACGCGACACTCCCACCCCCCGTCAACTGAGTGTACCGAAATTCCAGAAAAAAATTCTGGCAGAAACTCGGAGGGCCTTGAAGATGCGGCAGTGGCTGGGGAAGCCGCTCCCGTCAATTGCGCATTTCCTGGCCCTATAGATGGCCAGTTTGGCATTGTTCATGATGAAGTTAATCAACCCCTAAATATCCTTGGTATCCTCGTTCCCCCTATATCCAAAAATACGAATTGTGAGGGAGAAATTAAGATGGAATTTCAGTGGAATATTGCGTTACAGCTTATAGAGCGAGTCTAGGCTTTTGCCGCGTACGTATTGATGCGCCACTGTTTCGAGCTCACCGCAGAATCCGCGTTCAGGATTTGCGTCTGCGAAAAGTGCCAGGAATGTGTTCGTGGTCAGAGTCCCATGGGCAATGCTCCAGCTAAGATCACCGTGGCGCTTGTACGGTGGATTGGAGTGAAACAGCTCCCAATGAGGCCTCACGCGACCACTGCAGGGCATCGCGTCCCTCCAAGCGTAGCCCTTGCGTGACGTTATTATTTGTTGGTGGTGGAAATCGCCCATTTGGGCGTACAGCTTTTTCCAGTCTACACCTGAGAAGCACCCCTCCTGGTCATTCCCCGTGGTGTGCTCCCCACTGTTGCTGTGAAGAAGAGAGTTGAGTTTGCTTCCTTGCTGGGGCCACATTCAGTGTTGGTGGCACTGGGCCACCGCCGGCCGACTCCTCACCAGCACTCACAGCAGGCACGCTGCTCCCCACTGCTGCTGTTGAGAAAGACGTTCGTACCTCATTCACGAGTTTTGCGGCGAGTCTCACCGAGTGCATCTTGGTCATTGCAGTTACTGTATCTCGGTAGGGAGAAGCCACTGCCCCTCCGTGCCTGGTCTCACCACATCGCCCACCCTAGTGGGACGTGCGTCCACCACGCGTTTCTCCATGGCAGGGCCCGCAAGAGAGAGGGTAGTGCCACGTTGATATTCCGTAACAGCGGCTCGTGAGCGAATTCTGATGCTGACCGGGGTGTGTTCAGTCGGGCGGTGACAGGGAAACCCCATGTATGTAGGATACTCCTGTAGAAGTGGGGAATCTGTGCGAGTGGAATGCCTTCAATGTCCATGAAGAAGAGCCGCTTGCAGCACTGAAGGCCCCCGAGGTTATTCAGAAAAAAAAAACATTTGCTGTGGAACACCACACGGGTGATGGGGCCGTGCAGAGAAACTTCTGTACGGCTTGTAGACGAAATGTAGAGAGCTGGCTCCGTACGCACACCAGACCCTTGCCCCCGCCTTCCCGCAGTGGCAAGGCCAAGACACCGGCAGCCACACAGTGCTTCCTCTGCGGCCAGAAGAAGGCAGCTATCAGTCTCTGAAGTTTTGCTATGAGGTATGCGGGTCGAGCGAGGGATAAGAAGTGGTGCCCCAAGGTGGATGCAGCCAACTGGTTCGCCACCTGGGGGGCGGGGGGGGGTTCCCTCTAAACGTGAGAGACTTCTTCTTTGGTTCTTTCGGTAAAGTCACCACCACGTAGAATGAGAATAAAATAATAAATTGATAAAATAAAATAACACAATTAAATTCTCACGACGTTTCGGCCACAACACAAGCGGCCTTCATCAGGTGAAGGGACGAGACTGTCTGGAGCTGGAGCTCCAGCGCTGTCCTACCAGACAGTCTCGTCCCTTCACCTGATGAAGGCCGCTTGTGTTGTGGCCGAAACGTCGTGAGAATTTAATTGTGTTATTTTATTTTATCAATTTATTATTTTATTCTCATTCTACGTGGTGGTGACTTTACCGAAAGAACCGAAGAAGATGAATCCTTGCAGTCACGAAAGCTTTAAATCGTGAGAGACTTGCGCAGGCGCCCCCAAGGCTCGAGTCGTTTCCTCGGCCTTCTCTTCCAGGACATCCCAATTTTCCTGCAGTGTTTTTTTTCCTCCACGCCCCAGGAGCACGCCGAGATGGTTCAGACTCTCACTCTTTGCTCCACGTTATTGTCTTGGCCAACTCAGGGAACCGGGCCTCGTCCCACTTCCCAACAAGCAGGCCACTGCACTTCTCCCAGTCCATCCTGGAGGAGGAGGAGGAGGAGGAGGCCGCACGCGGTGGAGTAAACCTCGTGACACTCGTGCAGCCGCTCGATGTCGTCAAAGCTCAGTAAGGAGAGGAGGATGTCGTCGGCACACGCTGTGAGGCTCACTCTCATACCGCGGCTCTTTTAGAGTCAGTCCGGCGAGTCGGCGTCGGAGTAGACGCAGAAAGCGCTCCACGACGAGGGTGTAGAGCTGACCTGACATAGGACGGCCTTAGCCTGATACCACTTCTGAAATCTATAGGAGCAATTAGTCCACCATTAACTTTAACCAGACACTGGGCCATGTTGTACAGCAAACTAATTAATCCTATGAAGCGAGTCCCAATACCAAACGCTTTTAGAGTGCCAAGAAGATACTGGTGATCAACCCTGTCAAAGGCTTTCTCTTGATCAAGGGAGAGAAAGGCAAGTGGAAAGTTCAAATGCTCCGACAGACTGACCAAATCTCTGACCAGGAAAATCCCATCATGGATGGTCCTCCCTGGAACAGCGTATGCCTGGTCATCGGCAATAACCTTAGCCAACACCCTCTTAAGCCTTGCAGACGCAGCTTCCGGTAGAATCTTATAGTCTGTGCTCTGCACTGAGACTGGACGCCAATTTTGTATAGGTGTCTGAGGTCGCCCTTTTTCGGAATCAGTGTCAGCACGGCTCTCCTCCACTGCTTCATCCAGCACGGCTTTGTAGTCTTTACGTATGGAGTGTCAAAACTGGTGATAAAACTCCCCCGTCAGCCCATCAATCCCTGGGGATTTGTTCTTGGCCAGGGCATTCACTGCCATGTCCAGGTCGCTTTGTTTGACCTCTTCTTCTAGAAGGTCCCTGTCTTCTTCATCTGGCAGGTCTTTCCAGATTTCATTCTGGGCCACTGTGGATATATGCTCTGGAGAGAACAGATCTCCATAGTACTGTGCTATTGTTGCAGCTATTTGATCATTGTTTGAGTCAAGGACCCCCTTGCCATCAAATAAATCCTCCATGGCTTTGCGTCCACCATTCCGCTTCCGTAATGTGAAGGAAAGTTTCGAGCTAGAGTCCATGTCAAGAGCATCTTTAAAACGAGAGCGTGCAAATGCCCCTTTTGCCTCTTCTGTCTGCAACCCTTTTAGATATTCTAGGGTCTCCACATATTCCTGCAGTAGGCCTGGATCGTCCCCAATCGTCCGCCTTTGCTCTAAAGTATGGACCCTGTTCTCGAGCTCACTAATTTCTTGGTCAATATTTTTTGTCTTTCCCCAGGCATACATCTGACACAGTTTTTAATGTGTACTTTCCCTATGTCCCACCATTGTGCTAGGCTATTAAACCGATCTTTCTTTCCCTGCCACTCCACCCAGAAGACCCCAAAGAGACCAGTGAATGTGGTGTCTTGCAAAAGGGCATTATTGAAATGCCAGTATGCCGATCCCCTTGGGACTGCTCGTATTTTCATTTCAAGTAGTATTAGGTGATGATCGGCCAGTGGTGCCGCCTGAATACTGGACGACACTGCACTATTTTCAAGGTCTTTTGAGATGTAAAACCGGTCAATCCTTGACTGTGACAGTGTTCTGTCAGCTCCGGTTCTCATAAAGGTGAAACCTCGCTGCTTTGGATGTTGCGTCCGCCACACATCTACAAGACTGCACGTGCGGAGCACCTGCCGCAAGGTATTCAGGACACCGCTTTTGAACTGGTCGGTGCCAGTGCGGTCGAGGACATCGAGTGTACAGTTGAAATCTCCTCCCAAAATCAGACACTCGTCATTTGGGATGTTTTTGAGATGGTCCTGTAACTCGTTGAAAAAAATCATTTTTTTCTGCATCATAGATGGGGGTATAGATGTTTATGAGGTGGACAGAAAGGTCATTAAGTTTGATCGTTACGTCAAGGGCTCTTCCCGGTACCACCTCAACCTGGTTAACTATGGTGGGTGTAAACCCTGATGCAAATAACGTTGCCACTCCTGAAGAATAATGAGTAAGGTGACTGAAAAACAAATCACCTATCCATTCCGCTTCCCATTCACTCTCCTCGCTGGTTGTAAGATGCGTC